ACTTATAACTACTAGTATTTAAAAGGACATAAAAATTTTTCTATTCAAAAGGAGGCATTGACTTAAATAATCTCAAATTTATACCACCATTTATTCTAAAATTCTCTCAAACAAAGGCTTAATTAGATAATAACATACATTGTTTATACTTTATTGTGCCATAATGGGCACATATCAAACTAACTTGGATAAGCTTTATGCATATATGGTCTTTTTAAGATGGGTGTGTTGAGTATATATTAAATTTTGCATTAAGATATAATAAGCTTGATTTAAACCATAATAACATGATAAATACTTTGATTTTATAATTGTATATCACTTTAAGTACAATTAAGCAATATTCATGATCCCAATTATTTCTTAAATAACTTTTTATGACTACTATTTATTTTTTTTAAAAAGTAAACTAATAATAACAATAATAATAGCTGCAAAAAGCAATAAGAATAAGAATAAAAATAACTAATAATAATAATAATAATAATAACATGATTAAATAGTTAACCTTTTCATAAATTTAGATGTCATTCTAAATAGTTGTAATTATTTTTGGGCTAAATGCCATTTAATGATCATAAATGTTAGTATGTTAGTGGCTAAATTGCGTCCCAAATATAAAGCCCATGGTTAAAGAAAAAGCTCTCTATACATAGTTCTCCATCAATCATATAAAATAGTCAGTAATTTCAAAAATGTGATTGATGAAGATTAAAATAATAGAATTAAATAAATGACTTTTATTAATCAAGCTACACTGTTCTATGCCTTTTCGTATGCATTAAAAAAGCTGAAAACTAATAATTGATACTAAATAATAGAAGATAAAGAAAGTTTAAATGGCTCAAAATTATCGAATGATTGTGTCGATCAATTGTCAATTTAGAGCCATCAATTTCACCCAGTAAGCTCGACATTGAGTTTGTTGTGGGGGTACCCTACTATATGGGTTCGTCATTGAAAATACTTTTTTTTTTTTCTATACGTAGCGTCTCAAAGCTATAACCGCATCGCACAGTGTCAGCATCACAATGCTATTGTAGTAGGGCCGAGGCGCTATCTGTGCAATGTCACAATGCTACTCTCGGAGAAAAATTTGTATTGAAATCAGAGAGCTTGGTGACGCAATGTCATATTGGAGTGGCTACGACCCGATCAGGAGCAATTTCATGCATGTTTTGATGGTTCTTCTTTTGTAGTTGAAAATGAAGAACAATAAGACGAGGCTCATATGTGACTTTTGATGTATGTTTTGTGATTTTTCACTAGGAATTTTGTATTCTCTTGTGCAAAAAGTGGAATGCAGTGAACTACAACTTTTCATGCATTGTTATACGACGCCAGAGCGGCGTAATTTTAGGAGTTAGATATGTAAATACATGATCATATTTTGAAGCAAATAAAATGAGTATTTACAAGTTTAAGATATCAAATTGACTCTAGATTGACGAAGACTAGACTTGTAGACTAATCAGCTGCTAAAGTTGGACCGAGCCTGCATGATTCAACCTTCCTCTGAATTTTGGTTTTCAAAGCTTGAATTTTAATTGACTTCAATTCTCATTCAACATATGCATAACCCTCAAAAATAAAAAATAATAAAATAATAAAAAAAGGGTATTTACATACATACCACACAATTCCTATGTTTTTACGCATATAAACACTTGAAATTTTATATTTACATGCACAACACTCGAACTTTAACATCACCTTAATCAGAAATAGTATTTTTATTAATTTTTTATAAATGTAAATATTTAGGTATTAGATATGTAAATGCATAGAAATTGTATGTTGTGCTTGTAAATTTCCAAGATTTTAAGGTCATTTAATCTTTCAATTAGTGACGAGAAAAATCCAATCATATATTTAAGTGCTTGATATGCACGAAAAGAAGTTATTCGTTTTATTTTGAAGGTGATATAACGATATTTTTGATGTAATATGAACGATTTGGGGGATATAAATGTAAAAATTAAAATTTGGGTGTTACATAGTGACTAATCAAATCATCACAAATCGGACGGCTCGGGATTCTACTCAGTTGTTGGTGTCATTCCAAGATACGACGGGCAGACCGTGGGTGACCGTTCATGGCTGAGAATGGCAAGGAGAACCGAGCTGAATGACTGGGGCCGAATGATTGAGTTTAACTGACCAAAGCCGACCGATCGGGACTGAATGACAGAGGCCGAATTATCGAGGGTGAACGACGAAGGACATGAAAACAAAGTCGAATAATGAGAGCCGAGCATCCAAACCCGCTCATATACATATAATGTTGACTTCCTCGAAGGACCCATTTCATAAAGTAGAAGGGTATCAAAATTTATGGGTTTCTCGTGCCAAGCACGATAAATAGAGAAAATTAAATGTAAATCGTGAGCAAATCTATTTTTAACAGTATTTACGTAAATGCCCCTAAAAAACATCAAATGTAAATATATGAATTACAAAAACTTTTCATTCCATGCCATTTTTTCAAGATTGGTAGGAAGAAGATGCGGGCCGACTTGTTTTCTAATACAAGTCTTTGAATCCACCCAATCAAGAGGAAAGAAAAGTAGTTATTTCACCTTCTCATTTGCCAATTCTCAAATTCTTCAGCCTAGATGGTATGCTATATGTGAAAATATATAATAATTGTTTGATATATATGTAAATAAATTTTCTTAAAAGAAGTGCTGGTGAGATTGGATGATTGTGTATTTTCTCTTGCACCGAAAAATGAGAAAAATTTGCATATGTAAGACGTACGTAGAGCTGCGTATGTCGGAGGTTATTTAAAGGATATTGGAGGGTTATAGGTAGGTTACATCTTCTGTAACATCTCTGTAGTCTACCTATAACTCTCCAATAGCCTCTGAATAACCTCGGGCGTACGCAGCTTTGAGTTCTTAAGACGTACTCAAATTTCTATGTATTTAGATATTTAACATCTAAAATTTAATTTTTACATACATCATTTTGTTAATGCATGAAAAAGTTTATTTCATTCTTTGAAGGCGTTGGATATGTAAATACAAAATTTTAAATTTATTTTAAAATAAATATAACATAAATTTTGACTTATAAATCATATTTTTTCTTCATGTTAAATAAAATTCATCATGTTACATTTTTGAAGTCATGCTGATGATATCCTTCTCGTGGATAAGACTAGACAGAGTTTAGAAAAAAAAAAAAAAACTTGAATTATGGTGGTCTCCATTGCAGTCTAAAGACCCTCATTTGAGTAGATTTAAATCTAAATACATGGAATGTAGTTTTAGAAATAATGGTTCTAGTAGGAGAGTTATAACTATGGGTGATCAAAGTATTGAAAGGTGTGAACATTTTAGATATCTTGGATCTATTGTTCAAAGTGATGGTGATATTGATGGGAATGCTATTAGTAGAAATCAAGTTGGTTGGTTGAAGTGAAGAAATGCATCAGGCCTAGTGTGTGATAGAAAGGTACCACTTAGACCGAGAGGAAAACTTTATAAGACGATGGTGAGACCTGCAATGCTTTATGGCTCATAATGTTGGCCTTTAAGAGAGAAGCATAAAACAAAGTTGTGTTGTTGAGATAAGAATGCTTAGGCTGAAAAGCAGCTTGACACTTAGAGACAAAATGTGAAATGATTACAACCGTGATAGGGATGGTTAGCTTCAGTCGTCGACAAAATTAGAGAGAGTCATCTTAGATGGTTTGTTCAGATAAAACATCTATCATATGATGATCCATTTAGTGGAGTAAATGTTTAAAATTCAACTTATGTTAAGAGAGGCAGAGATGGACCTAAGAAGACTAGGGCATATTGCATAAAAATGATCTCAATCCATTGAAATTAAATGAAAATATGACACTCAATAGGACTCGAAAAAATATTACCTCAGGAGTACTGATGCAACAGTACTCCAATGAGGAGATGCCACATGACATTATGATGAAACCATTGCATATATGACACCTCCTCATTGGAGTACTGATGCATCAGTACTCCTGAGGTAATATTTTTTCATAGGACTCAAAGGAAAAAAAAAAAAACATTCATCTAGCGACCACACTTAGTAAGATAAAGACTTGTTTTTATTAGTGTTGTACGTTAAATCTAGATTTAAATACTATGACATAAATCCTAAATAAATAGTTACTTGAAAGCAATAATTAATAATTGCTCTTTTTAGTCATTAAGCCCGATTTCTTCTCTTTCTGATTAAATTATGAACAATTCCCATTCTAAACACCTAAACTTTCATCTAAAATCTTCTAGCATTACATAAAAAACATCATTATAATTAATTTATTTAAAATGGAATACATATTTTCATTCATAATTATTTACTAACAAAGTGTCATAAGTGCAAATATCAAACTTTAGGGGTTAGATTTGTAAATACATAAGAATTTTGTGGTATCTATGTAAATTTCCCTTTTAAAATTTACCAACAAGTCATTCCTTTTCCTCCCAAAATTTATGCAATCTTTTACACTCCTCACATTTCATCAACTTCACCAACCCTTCATAAAAATACAAACCATAAGATCTCAGCCGTGCCAATTGCTTTCTTCCCCAATACATTTACAGTTAGGTTCATGAAATAATTCCATTTTGCAGACAAACAGTGTAGCCATAACCATTGCATGTCACTTAAAAGGAAAAAATTTGCGTACGTCAAGGGGTACGCAGAGATGTGTACATAATAGGATACACGGGGTTATACGGGAATTACAAGGGGGTTATAAGCCCATCGTAACTCCCGTATAACCCCGCTGTAACCTTGTAATCCCAATAGATAAAATAAAAACACGGGTTACAGCTGAGTTACACGAAAGTTACAAGGAAGTTATAACACACTTGTAACCCCCATGTAACCCCCCCCGTACAACGCCCGTGTACCATATTATGTACACATCTCTGCGTACCACCTGACGTACGCAAATTTTTTCCCACTTAGAAACAAACATCAAATTGGTAACCGAAGCTCCGAAAATATCTTCACCATAACAATCACTGCAGCAATTATTCTAAATAAAATTAATCGTCGTTTTCAATCTAATATGCAGTATAGCCATAAATTTCGATTTTGAAGTAGAAAATCTGTGCACCATATAACCAATTCCAGTAATAAAATCTATCAGCCGCAACAAAACGTCTTCTTTACAATTATGAGAAAAATCTCTCCGCAACTCTCACGTTAGAGTGCTAGAAATGCTTACTGAAGAACATCTCTGACTCCTGCACCGTCTGGTTGTTCTTCCCCACCCAATCATATGATGCTTGCCAACTTCCAATTCAGGATTATTACAATCAACCATAAACAATGGTATTGGAGGGTTGATCTCGACCGGGCTTACAGACACTCTGGAATTTCTTTGAGGGCATTTCTGGATGGCCTGAGCTTGCGAGCCATTCCCGCGCATGTTTCTTCTCCGAATTCCGGCTTGCCACGGCGTTCCGGATGCTTTCATTAACTCCCCAATGGCCTGAAGGTCTTCGATGGACTCTTGCCTTGATAATGTGGCGAGGGGAGGGAGAATATCCTTCTGGAAGTCCTTCTTCTGCCTTCTCTTCTTCCCTTGCACTCTTCGAGGCATTGCTAGGAGAAGCGAGGCTTTGCTCCGCTCGTTTGCTCCAGCATTTTCGGCTTCCTGAGGCCGGTGCCACAAGTTCTCTGGTTTAGTCTCTTCGAGCTGCAACGTCTTTAGCTCAAAAAGGTCCAATACATGGTATTGATGTTGTGAGCGACCGTCACGTACTGCATCCGATTCTAGGATGTTTTTGTTTGATAAAATCATCTCTGCAAATATGTACAAGGCGTTGTCAGATGGGGTGGCAGAGTGGGAGATCTGGATTTCATCGTTAAGCTTCAATCCATCGAGTGATAGTTTGATTATGTTTTCTGCTGCCTCCTTCATAACAATCTCGCTGGAGCATAGATCTTCTTTCAATCCATCTCTGCAGCTAAAGGAAATGGATTCTATGTTAGAAGTGATGTTATTGACTGGTGCTTCCAGGTAGATAAAGGGCGCTACTTCGGAAACTAGAATTGGGTCTGAATGTATTGATGGGGCATAGGCCTGAACTTTGGCAGAAATTTCAGAGGAATCTGAATCATCGTTCAAAGGAAACGCAAAATTCAGATCTATGCAATTTCTAGGCTTTTTTCTGTTATTTTCTAAAGAGGTTGATTTTTCGGAGCTGTACAATTTGATGTCATGGAATGTACTGGCATGCTTGAACTCATCAATTACCAGCTTCTCTTCATTTGAAGAAGATGATAATTTTTCCTGGAGTTCATGAAAATAAGGACCGATAAATTTCTTACTAATCAAACTGTCAAATGGCGGATCATTCTGCACTTTGCTGTCCCTATTATGTAAAGATGAAGAGAAGTTTTCGAAGCTGCATGAAGGAAGACTTGTGGGATCTTCAAATTTCTTCTCATAAACTTGATTCGTATTATTAAATCCTAAATCCGCTGGAAAGGGAAGCCTACTCGGTTCCAAAGACTCACAAGCCGTTCTTCTTTTGAGCCAGGATGGCCCAGGCAAAAGATCTTCACATTTTCCACCTATAATTTGTTGTGAAATTGGTCCATCTTGAGTCCCAGAAAAGAAATTTTCCGCTTCAACATTGAGATTTATGGTGGACAACGGAACTTTCTTCTGTAAAGTAGAAAGCAATTGCAACTGGAGCCCATCATTTAATTCATTGAAATGAGACGAATATTTCTCTTCATATCTCAGGGTTGATTTTGCGGCATTTTCAGAAAAGCAGATCTTTTTCGCTTTACTAGATCCATTGAACCTTGAAATTGCTGAAAATGGGCTCGAAGCATGATTTTCATCACTCGAAAACTTCGTCCAAGTTGGAACGAGTGGTGAGGAGGTAATGTTTTTTTCCAGTTTAAAGGAATTTGAGAAGGAATTGGGCAAGACAGAAGTGAGTTTTCCTAAATTGTTGGATTCCGAATTTCCAGGGCATTTCCCACAGATTAGAAAATGATTGTCCTGTTCATGCCCAAACTGTGTTGATGCTTCATCATGATCAATTGAAATAATGTCACTCACCTTGTTAGCATTCAGCATTACTGGTTCACAGAGTATGGGGTCTTTCTCTTTATGTGAAGTTGAATTCATTAAACTTGTGGGGAAAAGTTTCCCTGTAAAGACAATAAAAATAGATGATTAGTTGGATTCAGCTCAGGGGGGAAATTTAGGAAAATTTACATTTATACCACACATATCTTATGTATTACATCTCTAACATCCAAAATTTGATATTTAAACTTATAATAACTTGGTGTCATAAACCTGCACATGAAAATGCATCTCTTTTAAAAAGATGGTGATGTGGTATTTTTGATAATATGTCACAAATTTGAGTGGTATGCATGTATGTAAATACATAAAAATTGTGTGCTATGTATGTAAATGCCTAAATAAATTTATCCAGCTGCACACATAACAGACAATCGAAGTAACTACAAACTCTATAGTAAGCTGCCATAAAATAGTAACAGGGGCAGGTTGAACAGTCTAACTTCTGAAGATACAATTTTCTAATGGATCAGCACAAGGCAGTTATCAATTAAAAGGATAGTTTCTTTTCACCAAAGAGAAGAAAACAAAATCTCTACAATACTGTCCTTATGTTTCATCAATGAAAGTTACTGTTGACATGCAACTGGAGAAGCTGCAAATCAATTACCTCCCCTGATTATAGAAGACAATAAATTCTAGGGAAATTTACATATATGCCACACAATTCTTAATATTTAAATATCTAACACCTACATTTTCACATTACGTTTGTCACACTTCGGTGTCACAAAACTATGCATGAAAAGGTGTATTTCACCTTTTAAAAATAAGAGCGGTATTTTTTATGTGAAGTCAAAAATTTGGGTGCTATGAATGTAAATATGAAAATTTAGATGTTAGATATGTAAATGCATAAGAATTGTGTGGTATGTATGTCAACGCCCCAAAATTCTAATTGTTATCTCCATCAAAAGTAAAACCCAAAATGACATATTTGAACGGCTTTACACAGCAAAATTCCACTTCTTGTGAGTATCACAAGCAGTAAATCCCACTAGTAGACAAGTATAAATGCCATTTATATGTATTCTTCTTTGTCATTAACCTATATGCAATTTATCTGAAATTTCATGAGCTCCAATGAAACAAGTATTTTGATAGACACCCTCGAACTTTCAAGAAAATATGCAAAAAGATACAGGTACAACATATTTTACAAGCATACTCCCAAACTATAGTTCTTGAGTTGCAATAGCAAGAAAACTCCCAATTTGAAACATCTTACCTCCCCCTTGGAGGTCAAAAACAATACTGGTCAACCAAGGGGACAATGGTGTAGTTACTTGTGAAAAAGTAAACTGACACTAATACAACAATTTATTTGTGGTGACTAATAACTAAAAAACAAAACAGGCTATCCTTTCTTACAATAACCATTTGAAGATTCCATAGGGTTTTGATTGACACAGGAATATTATGTGGTAGGTGACATGGGGGGAGGCTGAATGGATTATATGGGTTCAAAGTCCGGATTGGATATGTTCATTAATATGTAAACATTTTTACACCATAGTGCTGAATATTAACAATTATTACAGAAGACGAAGACAACAAGTCTTTATCCCACTAAGTAGGGATTATTACAAAAGGCATGCATGAAAAAAAAGCCTATTTCTACGTACCTAGTTTTCATCAAGAATTAGAGTAGTACCGTACAAGGTGTGTAAGAATTGCATGAAACTCAACAAGATTTCAAATACGGATATACTACAAAGTAAAGTTAAGCTTTCCAAGAAAGGATTAAGTTCTAGTGGTGAAAGTGAACTAAATATGTAAATTTATCTAACTCAATCTCCAGTTTCTCTCATCCCTTTTCGCTGTAGCTTTTGGGAGGTTATTAGGGAGAATCATCAATAGTTTTAATTCTTTCAACATACAAGGATTTAAAATAAAATCATCTTCATATGTAACTGGTTACAACAAAAAGATTTGAAAAAGAAATGTAAGTCTATTAAATTTTGTAAAAAATAAAACAATAAAGAAAAACTCATAGATTTTTTTTACTAGCTTTTCCTTTTACAAGAGGAGAGATATATACATCTCTAAGTGAAATTACAAAATAAGAATAAATCAAAAAGGGGGGAAAAACAAAGGAGTGGGCGGTTCTAAGGGGAAGCACGTGAATTACAATCCAAGATCCAAAGAGAAATTGATCTAATGGTAAAAGCCTTGATCCATGTGCCTTAAGCTACTTATTATGATTGGAGAGAATGAGCCACACTATGGATGAGAGAGAAAGAGAGAAATTCACACTTAAACTAGATGATAGAGATCTACTATTCCGAGTTTAAATACAATACTTTTGGATAAAAAGTTGTAGATTTCTTTGGTGAATATGATTCATCATAAAGTGTAGACTGTATGGAGTGTGAATCAACCCACTTTCTAAATTATCTTTTATAAAGTGTTCGTCAACCTCAACATGCTTAGTGCAGTCATATTGTACTAGATTGCATATAATATTGATGGCTAATTTATTGTCACAAAATATTTTCATAGGATCTATCCAATTAATTTTAAAATATTCTAAATATTATTTGATACATATTATCTCAGAAGTCTCTTGAGAGTTGGCTTTAAGCTAAATTTCAATACTTGATCTTCAAATTGCATGTTGTCTTTCTCCTCCAAATCATGAGATCCCCTCCAAATATCATTTATTTGGTATATAATTTTTTTCACAAGTTTGTGATATGTGCCCGCCTAGATCCAAACCAACGAAACCAGTCCAAGAAGGACCGGGCTGGACCATCCAGCCCAAGCCACAACATCGGGCGGCTGGTTTGAACGAAATGGGAGTATCGGGTGTGTATCAGTTTGATTTAGGATAACTGAGAATTATAAGGCAATTTGAAGTTGTGACCCTTTGGGTTTATGCATTAATTGGCTGGATAAACATACTGTGAATGTGATGTCAAGACAATTGTGGAATAAATTGATTACTTTTACTACTAACATTTGATATTGTCATGTATTTACATTGGTTAATTTTTCACCAAGGTGCAATTTTTGTCCTAATTTAATTGGATCTTCACATAGCTTATAGCTATTTATCTTGGTCTCTTTCAACAAGTTCAAAATATATTTAAGTTAGAGAGAAATATTCTTGATTCAGATTGGACCACGTCTATGCACAAGTGGTATATGATTTTCTGGTTCTTTTATATTGAATTCTTCAACATTCTTTTTCCTAAGAGCTTCTCATGATTATTCTCTTGTGTAACAATCATATTGTCAACATAAAAAATTTAAAAATTATCATCAGAAGAGTGTTTTGTGAAGATGGTATAGTCTCCTTGGCTTCATTTGTAGCTATAGCTCCCATTATAGCTTTCATAAATCTACCAAAACAAACTCTTGGTGAATATTTCAATTCATATAAAGCATTTTTCAATTTGCATATCTAATTCTTTTCGAAGGAGCTATAAAATTCTAGTGGTCTCTTCTTAAAGTCCCCATGTAGAAAAGTTTATTTTTACATCATATTATTATATATGCCACTCATAATTTGTTGATAATGATATCAAAATGTAAATAATGTTCATGTTTCCAATATGTGCAAAATTTTCTTGATAATCAGAGTGAATTCTTTTGTTACCAATCTTGTACCTTTCCAAGGTCCCATCTGTTTTGTATTTGACCATGAAGTTTCATTTGCATTCTACTATCTTCTTTCATTTGATAATTCAACAATCACCTATGTATAATTCTTTTCTAATGCATTTCTCTTGGCCTCTTTCAAATTTCTATTTTTAAGTGCTTTAAATAGGATTTGTGGAATGAAAATAGGGTTAGTACTGCTGTTGGTTAGAAAGCTTTTATGAGAGGGACAAATTTCATGAAATGTTTATTGAGAGGTAGAATATAAGTGAATGGTAGTGGGCTTTTTTGAGTTATGATAATAGTTGAGTCCTACACTTGCTGGAGACCTTGATTGAGTTTGTTTCTTTTTTTATAGAACTTAAAAAGTACAATTCGTATAGGGCTTGTATTTGTATGTTTTTGGGATACAGAAAAGTCAAGATAAAAAATATCATCAAACTTTTCTTCAAGTTGAAAATTCTCCCAACGATGATAAGTTTGAGTGAAAAAATTATGGGTTTCATTAAAAGTGATGTCCATTAAAGAGAAAAAAAAATATTGTGATACTTGTACCCCTTTTATTTAATAAAGCATTTGAAGAATACAAACTTGAGAGCTCTTGAATTAATTTTCTTCTATTTTATTTTTCGATATAAATATAGACAATGCATCCAAAAACATTAGAAGGGATATTTGATTAAGCTAATTTTAGGGAAGATTACAATCAAATAATTTAATGCACTTTTAAAATCAATTATTCTGGAGGATATTCTATTGATTAAGCGGGCAGCTGTTAGAACAACTTCACCCAATTATTGTTTTTGCATTTGATTGTGGAGAAGTGCCCTAATAACCTCCAAAGAAGTAATTTTTTTATTTCTACTACACGATTTTGTTAAAAAGAGTGTTAGGGTTGATGAATAATACTTCCTTTATGAAAAAATAAAGATAATGAGCGATTAAAATAATCATGGGCATTATCACTTTAGAAATTTTTTATATTTGAGTTGAATTAATTCATTATCAAGACAATGAATATAAGAAGTATAAGGTTTCCATTGGATTTTTGTTTAACTAAATTTATTCATATCAATCAAGTGCAATCTTTAATAAAACTAATGAGTGTAGAGATATTAGAAGTTTCACAGGGTTCCAAATATCGTATTAACTCAACATAAAATGATTAGAAGAGTTAAGAGTTGCTTTTAGGAAAGCAAAGACTATGATGTTTAGCAATTTCATAAGTTTCACAATGAAAACATTTAATATTTGCATTTATGAAAAGAGAATAAAATATATTAAAAAAATTTAAGAGAAGAGTAGCTTAATCTATAGTGGTGTGTCTTGATAATAATGATGGTGAGATAAAGGATTATGATAGCTGATCTTGGTTTTCAAGAAGATACGACCTCTCTTATTTTCTAGCTTATTCATTAATATTCCCTGTAGTGAGGTTATAAAAAGCACATTGATCGGT